GGTAGAATGGTGGTGGTCCAGCGTGGGTAGAATGGTGGTGGTCCAGCGTGGGTAGAATGGTGGTGGTCTACCATGGGGAGAATGGTGGTGGTCTAACATGGGTAGAATGGTGGTGGTCTAGCAGGGGTAGAATTGTGGTGGTCTACCATGGGGAGAATGGTGGTGGTCTAACATGGGTAGAATGTGGGTCTAGCGGGTAGAATTGTGGTGGTCTAGCATGGGTAGAATGGTCTAATGTGGGTAGAATGATGGTGGTGTAGCGTGTGTATAATGATCTAGCGTTGGTAGAATGATTGCCTAGCATGGGTAGAATGGTGGTGGGCTAGCGTGGGTAGAATGGTGGTGGTCTAGCGTGGGTAGAATGGTGGTGGTCTAGCGTGGGTAGAATGGTGGTCTAACATGGGTAGAATGTTCTAACGTGGGAAGAATGGTGGTCTAACGTGGGTAGAATGATGGTGTAGTGTGTGTGTAGAATGATGATGGTCTAGCTTGGGTAGAATGACCTAGCATGGGTAGAATGATGGTGGTCTAGCATGGGTAGAATGATGTGGTCTAGCGTGGGTAGAATGATGGCCTAGCATGGGTAGAATGATGGTGGTCTAGCATGGGTAGAATGATGGTCTAGCATGGGTAGAATGGTCTAGTATGGGCAGAATGATGATGGTCTAGCGTGGGTAGAATGATGGCCTAGCATTGGTAGAATGGTGGTCTAGCATAGGTAGAACGATGATGGCCTAGCATGGGTAGAATGATGGCCTAGCAAAGGTAGAATGATGATGGCCTAGCATGGGTAGAATGGCCTAGTATGGGTAGAATGGCCTAGTATGGGTAGAATGGCCTAGCATGGGTAGAATGGCCTAGAAAAAGTAGAATGATGGCCTAGCATAAGTAGAATAATGGCCTAGCATAAGTAGAATGATGGTGGCCTAGCATAAGTAGAATGATATTGGTCTAGCATGGGTAGAACGATGATGGTTGCTATCTCAGAGTTCCATTCATTCCCTAATGGCCATTAAATCATCTAGCAGCGAATATCATGCCTGACACCCATTACATTTCCTCATCTTGCCTTTCCCAGGTCTCTTCCACCCCCCTTCCCCATCTATCATATGGTGTCTCCCTTCCCTTCCTCCACCATCATCTATAATTTTGGTCCTCTTTCCTCAGGCAGCATCTATAATTTTGGGTTCCATTCCCCTCCCCCACCATAAATCATTTTGGAGTCCCCTCCCCCCATCTCTCTCTCTCTCTCTCCACCATTTACGATTTCCATTCTCTGATCCAAGTCAGGTTTCCTGCTCAGCAGTCACCCCTTTATGTCAGCTGATCCATCACAAAACAAATCAGCTGATTCATCACAACACAAATCAGCTGATCCATCACAACACACATCAGCTGATCCATCACAACACACATCAGCTCATCTCATCCAACACACATCAGCTGATTCATCACAACACACATCAGCTTCCATCACAACACACATCAGCTGATCCATCACAACACAAATCAGCTGATCCATCACAACACACATCAGCTGATCCATCACAACACACATCAGCTGATCCATCACAACACAAATCAACTGATCCATCACAACACAAATCAGCTTATTCATCACAACACAAATCAGTTGATTCATCACAGCACAAACTGACTGACCCTTCATAATAAAAATCAGCCTCTTTCTCTCTCTCTCTCTCTCTCTCATCCCTCTCTCCGTACTACCTCATCCCTCTCCATGCTCCCTCCTCCTTCCCCCCCACACAGGATCAACCTCTCCCCTCTCCCTAGTTCAACTTAAAGTTGGTAATAACCTGACTTGAGTTTGTATGTTAGATACTCACTGGCTACGACAGATAATTTACTCGTTGGTATTTTTGTTTGGTTGTCGTTTTCTTGTTTGGCTATAGTTGTGCACTTGTAATTTGGTTGCCTCTTCTCAAAATCTTTCACTCTATGTGGAGCTTTATTATGTAGAGTTCTCAATGTACAGTTTTATTAAGTTAGGTTTCATGTCGTTTCGCTCTGTGTAGTGTTGTTTCACTCTGGGTAGAGCTTTAGGAAGTCATATTTCATTCTGGGTAGAGCTTTAGGAAGTCATATTTCACTCTGGGTAGAGCTTTAGGAAGTCATATTTCACTCTGGGTAGAGCTTTAGGAAGTCATATTTCACTCTGGGTAGAGCTTTAGGAAGTCATATTTCACTCTGGGTAGAGCTTTAGGAAGTCATATTTCACTCTGGGTAGAGCTTTAGGAAGTCATATTTCACTCTGGGTAGAGCTTTAGGAAGTCGTGTTTCGCTCTGGGTAGAGCTTTAAGTCATGTTTCGCTCTTTTCAGAGCGAAGGAAGGACGGTCAGTATCACCCTCTCCCTCACCTCCCCATGACCCCTACATCCATTCCTATCCCATCACCCTACCTCCTATCCACCCCCTTGACCCATCACCTCATTACTCCAGGAAATGGGCTATAGGGGTGTAGGGGAGACCACACGTGGTGGGGAAGGAGGGGAGTATGAGTAATGGGGAGTGAATAGGAAGGCAGGGTAAGCTGGGAGATGGAATGAAAGGTAGGTGGGGAGATGGGAAGGAAACTTTAAAAGTGGGGAGGGAATGGAATGTGTGGGGAAGAGGGAAGCATGATTGGTGGTGGGGGGAAAGGGAGATTGAAAGTGGGAACAAAAGAGGGAAGGTATGGTGGGTGAGGAGAGAAAGGGGAGAGGTAAAGAATTGACACAGGGAAGAATCATAAGAAAATTACGAGGCAATATGAGAAACGGAAAAGGGGAAAAATATGAAGAAATGGAAGAATTTGAAAAAGAGAGGAATTGAAAAGGGTGGAGAATTGCTTGCAGTGAAGGACAGAGAGAAGGGACTGGAAAGATCAGTATTTAGAGGAAGGAGAGGAGGGAAGGAGGAAAATAATATTGATAAAGGGTCCGGGTATAGGGAAGAGGAGAAATATTGGTAGTAATTGGGAGGGCAAAGGGAAAAAGAGGTTGAAAGGGGAAGGATATCTAGAGAAGGGTAGAAAGTAGTGCGAGTTGTAAGAATCAGCTGATCTGTGTTGTGAGGTATCAGCTGACCTGTGTTGTCAGACATCAGCTGACCTGTGTTGTGAGGTATCAGCTGACCTGTGTTGTGAGGTATCAGCTGATCTGTGTTGTCAGACATCAGCTGACCTGTGTTGTGAGGTATCAGCTGACCTGTGTTGTGAGGTATCAGCTGACCTGTGTTGTCAGGCATCAGCTGACCTGTGTTGTGAGGTATCAACTGACCTGTGTTGTGAGGTATCAACTGACCTGTGTTGTGAGGTATTAACTGACCTGTGTTGTGAGGTATCAACTGACCTGTGTTGTGAGGTATCAACTGACCTGTGTTGTGAGGTATCAGCTGACCTGTGTTGTCAGGCATCAGCTGACCAGTGTTGTCAGGTATCAACTGACCAGTGTTGTCAAGTATCAACTGACCAGTGTTGTCAGTATCACGACCAGTTCAGTACAATGACCAGTGTTGTCAGGTATCAACTGACCAGTGTTGTCAGGTATCAACTGACCAGTGTTGTCAGGTATCAACTGACCAGTGTTGTCAGGTATCAGCTGACCAGTGTTGTCAGGTATCAGCTGACCTGTGTTGTCAGGAATCAGCTGACATTTGTAAAGAAGAACTATTAGTCAAAAGTCATGTACATGACAACATTTGAGAATTTATTAACCTTGAAATTTAAAGACAATACACACCAGTTGTATCAATGGTGCACAAAAATAATTGGATAATCGGCATCTATAGAATTATTTCTTTTATGATATAGTATCTAATTTGCTTTTGACGATTAGAATGTTTTAAAAAATAGTATAATTTAACATTTTTTTGAAATTTGAAACTATATAAAGACTTTAGAATGAAGGAATTACTTTTTATATATTGGAAAATGTAACTTTTGAGAATCGTAGGTCGTTAGAAGATTGGTGAGTAATTAGTGAAGATTACACTGTAGGGAACTAGCGAGTAATTGTTGCATAATTGATGTAAATCATTTGCATCATGACCTCTGACTTTATGCAACTTCTCATAATTGCTTTAGCAGTTGGTTCTGTAATTGCAAGCTGATAGAAGTTAACCTACGCAGGTGAGTTTCACATTTTCTCCAGGTGAGGCTTTTTTTACATGTCATCAACGGGTTTTAAGGGAAAAAAATCACAGGTGCACACACACATGCATCGACCCCCTGCAACCACAAATAGGCGAGTACAAATGAGTGTATACACACACACACACACACACACACACACACACACACACACACACACACACACACACACACACACACACACACACACACATGATTATCCTAAAAATGTATATGGGCTAAAATCATAGATCAAAACCACTACATACAAAAAAAAAACATCACCACACATCACCATCAAAATACACCACCATCACCACACATCACCATCAAAATACACACCACCATCACCACACATCACCATCAAAATACACCACCATCACCACACATCACCATCAAAATACACTATCACCACACATCAAAATACACCATCACCACACATCCTCAAAATACACCATCACACATGGCACTCACCACACAAGTGCCACTCCTCACCCCCTCACACACACAGAGTTATGTCCAAACACACAAGTCACCCATTTTGTGTTTTTATAATATTTACTGGTGTAAGAGTTTAGCAGAGAGTAATTGTTCAATGTGGTCACTGTTCCACACACTCTTCCCTCAGCAATTCAGGTGCCGTTGCAAAGTGTTTTATGAAAAAGTGTGTTACAGGTGTGTAAAAAGTGTGTTCCAGGTCTGCTAAAAGTGTGTTACAAGTGTGCTAAAGGAGTGTTGAAGATATACTACAAATGTGTTACAGATGTATTTCAGAGTGCCCGAATGGTATGTTGTGTATTACAGGTGTATTACAAAGGTGTGTTATAAGTGTGTTACGGGGATTCTAACTCAAGCTTCTTGACCTTTCAGAGGGTTTGGGTTCGTGACCTTCAGTGACCCGTCCAGTGTGGATAAAGTACTTACTCTCGCAGCTCATGAACTCGACGGCAAGAAGGTGAGACCATCCTCCAGTATTATGTTACCTTACCCTGTGACTCTTACTGCATAACATACTGGAGTACATCCATTGTTTACTGCCTTACTTCATGACATACTGGAGCACATCCATTGTTTACTGCCTTACTTCATGACATACTGGAGCACATCCATTGTTTACTGCCTTACTTCATGACATACTGGAGTACATCCATTGTTTACTGCCTTACTTCATGACATACTGGAGCACATCCATTGTTTACTGCCTTACTTCATGACATACTGGAGCACATCCATTGTTTACTGCCTTACTTCATGACATACTGGAGCACATCCATTGTTTACTGCCTTACTGCATAACATACTGGAGTACATCCATTGTTTACTGCCTTACTGCATAACATACTGGAGCACATCCATTGTTTACTGCCTTACTTCATGACATACTGGAGCACATCCATTGTTTACTGCCTTACTTCATGACATACTGGAGCACATCCATTGTTTACTGCCTTCATGACATACTGGAGCACATCCATTGTTTACTGCCTTACTTCATGACATACTGGAGTACATCCATTGTTTACTGCCTTACTTCATGACATACTGGAGCACATCCATTGTTTACTGCCTTACTTCATGACATACTGGAGCACATCCATTGTTTACTGCCTTACTTCATGACATACTGGAGTACATCCATTGTTTACTGCCTTACTTCATGACATACTGGAGCACATCCATTGTTTACTGCCTTACTTCATGACATACTGGAGCACATCCATTGTTTACTGCCTTACTTCATGACATACTGGAGCACATCCATTGTTTACTGCCTTACTTCATGACATACTGGAGTACATCCATTGTTTACTGCCTTACTTCATGACATATCATACTGGAGAACAACCATGGCATACTAACTTCATGGTATTTAGAAACGGATTTATCTTTCATTTTCTTACACCATGATATTTTAACTTCATGGCATTCTAGCACAGATCCACCTTTAACCTCCAGAGTATCCTGACTTCATGGCATTATAACGCCATGGCATTCTAGCACAGAGCCACCTTTTAACTCCATAGTATGGTGACTTCATGAATTCTAACGCCATGGCATTCTAATGCTAAAGACTGGTTGTTTAATAAATGCTAGGCTCCGTTATCCGGCAGCATTTTGGCTTTCTAGTTCTCTTGCGGGGCCTCTGACCTACAAGACGAACCTTGCAAGTCCGTCTCAAACAACCTACCCATCATTCTCCACCTGACTCTCAACACTATGTATTATCATGTACTCTTTACCCAGGTAGATCTGTTTGTGACTTGATAAAGCTCGCTGTGTGGGCGAAAAGTTGTCAATAAAGGACCGCATTACACTGTATTTGTGTGTATTTTTACACAGTACTTAGTTATACAGACAGACCATAGATAAGTACAGGTGCCTAGCCGAAGCTAGACGGTCACTTCCATACCCACACACAGTTAAGCCTAAAAGGGCCTTTATAAATAGACATTTTCATATATATATATATATATATATATATATATATATATATATATATATATATATATATATAGGGAAGTACCACCTCTATAGCTGGAATGGGGACCCTCATCCTCAGAGAAGACAATAAACGTACCTCAGGGAAAACTCAAGGTTCTCCCCGGAGCTGTTTGAACCTCTCCTGCCAACGGTTTATAAGCTCTTTCTCAGCACGTATGCCGTATTCTATTCAAGATTGATGGACTGACCACATCGACTCAAGGTTGAGGGACTGATTACCTCATTCTCCTCCTGTTCTTCAAGATTCTCCTTTGTATGGACTGATGAAGCCACTGTGTGGCGAAACGTTTCCTCAATAAAGATACCCAAGAGTTGCACATATGTCTAATTTATCAACATGTCGGTTCTCTGAACCATTCATCTACAAACCATTGTATTCATGTTTGTGTTTTCTGTAAATGTATTCTGTTTATTAATAAATGTTCACATAGAATATAAAATATAGGGTGTGGTAGGAGAAGAAAATATTCAAACAGCTCCAGGGAGAACCTTGAGTTTTCCCTGAGGTACGTTTATTGTCTTCTCTGAGGATGAGGGTCCCCATTCCAGCTATAGAGGTGGTACTTCTATATATATATATATATACTAACGCATGGCAATGCTCTGACAGACAACCTGTGACATGACAGAAATCTAATGACATCAACTTCCATATCATCTTGGCTGTCAGTATCCCACCTCAACTGACACCACAACTATCACATTCAATATTTAATTCCTTCACAATATTCTTTTCTCATTCTTAACTCAGACTGAAGTTACGTATGTGATTTCTTCCTTCAACATATTTTCCCTGGAAGGTTTAAGATATGTACATTATTTCCTTATCTTGGATTTTTCTTACTATTTATACCTGACTTCTGCTGTATAATCCTACGGGTTTAGCATTTTCCAGTTATAATAATAATAATATATCTGTCTTCTGTAATAGAAATGTTGTTAAGAGTCATCACATGAAATTGTTTATATACAGCCATATTTTTTAAAGGGGTGGACAGGTAAGCCAGCGGAAGGCCTCGGTCAGATGACCCAAAGCCCCAACTGCGGGTCATCATATGATTAAGACCCGACTCAGGAAACACTTGTCCTGTTTCCCTTACCTAACCTAAGCTCCCTCCTTGACTATTCTCAAGCAATGTTATACAAATAACCCGCACATATGAGAGAGGAGCTTACAACGACGTTTCGGTCCGACTTGGACCATTTACAAAGTCGTTAAATTAGACACATGTGCAACTCTTGGGTATCTTTATTGAGGAAACGTTTCGCCCCACAGTGGCTTCATCAGTCCATGCAAAGGATAAACTGGAAGAGCAGGAGGAGAATGAGGTAATCAGTCCCTCAACCTTGAGTCGATGTGGTCAGTCCATCAATCTTGAATAGAATACGGCATATGAGCGGAGAAGAAGCTTATAAACCGTATGGCAGGAGAGGTGCAGCAGTGGTAGGTGGTGTCACATTTGTCCAATGTGGAAGTAGGTCGTGCCCAAGGGTTAGGCAAGCAAAGAATTCCCAAGTATTAAGATCCCAAGAAGTTGCAGTGTCTGACAGGATTGTAGATGAATGGTTCAAAGAACCGGCACGTTGTTAAATTAGACACATGTGCAACTCTTGGGTATCTTTATTGAGAAAACGTTTCGCCACACAGTGGTTTCATCAGTCCATACAAATTCTTCGCTTGCCTAACCCTTGGGCACGACCTACTTCCACATTGGACACATGTGACACCACCTACCACTGCTGTACCTCTCCTGCCATACGGTTTATAAGCTTCTCCGCTCATATGCCGTATTCTATTCAAGATTGATGGACTGACCACATCGACTCAAGGTTGAGGGACTGATTACCTCATTCTCCTCCTGCTCTTCCAGTTTATCCTTTGCATGGACTGATGAAGCCACTGTGTGGCGAAACATTTCCTCAATAAAGATACCCAAGAGTTGCACATGTGTCTAATTTAACAACGTGTCGGTTCTTTGAACCATTCATCTACAATTTACAAAGTCACTTTGTGACTGTAAATGGTCCAAGTCGGACCGAAACGTCGTCTTAAGCTCCTCTCTTCTATGTACGGGTTATTTGTATATCGTTCCAGTCACGGTATTGTGCCTTTTTTGTTATTTAATGTTACAAATGGTATATTATACCGGCTAGTTGAAGATTAAGACACATGTAATCCATACTGACGAAAGATTTCGTCTGCCTCTGCACACTTCTTCAGATGATTACCGAGACATCAGCACTGGTGGAAGACGATGATTTTTCCTGTCTTTTTCAATCCCCATTTTTTCCTACATCGTTTACATAATTTGGGCACCAAAATTGAGATAGACGGAGATTGAAGTGTTTAGTGTACCTGGAAATCAATAAGTTATTTAACCCTGGCTTCATAATTAATAACATAAATCACAGAGTGATTTATAGGCACACGTCAGTCTAGTGTTGATAATTATAGCAGGAGTGACACGGTATGATAATTGAATTAGTCCCAATATCTATCAGCATCTGTCATAAAGGGCACTTCTGCCCCCTAGTTGTACTTGCCTAACTGTGTTTGCAGGGGTCGATACATAGCTCCTGGCCCCGTAATATTCAATTTTGATGACCAGCTTTATTGATTTTGGCGTCCAGGGCCTGTTATTATTATTATTATTATTGGTAGTAGTAGTAGTAGTAGTAGTAATAGTAGTAGCAGTGGTAGTGGTAGTAAGAGTGGTGGTAGCAGCAGCAGCAGCAGCAGTAGTTGTAGTGGTAGTAGTAACAGTAATAATATTACAATCACGAGAAATCGCTAAACTCGTTTGGACCATACAGGCCCTGGGGAACGGGAGATTAGGTTTGATCCGAGGAAGGGTAGAGCAGCTTCAATTCCTTGGATGAGAAATCCCCTCAATGAACTGACTCCAGGGCCTGAACATACCTACTTCTGAAGCTGTGTATGACACTTGCCCTCACCTCCGCCTCACAGGAGACCGACATTCATGACTTCCTCTTGCTTTTCCCAACAGATCGATCCGAAAGTCGCTTTCCCACGGCGGGCTCATCCAAAGGTAAGAAAGAACACTTGTACTTGATCAAGGACGAGCAGTTGTACGTGTTGTACATGTTGTACAAGAACTTATCAGCATTGTGCACCAGTAGTGTAATAATGTAACTCTATTTTTGGTAATAATGGTAGAATTACCGACAGACTTCATTTATATAATATAATATATATATATATATATATATATATATATATATATATATATATATATATATATATATATATATATATATATATATATATATGAAGTAAATGAGTAATGAGACGTTTATTACAGCTATGTTTCGCTCTCCAGGAGCTTTATTAAGACAACACAAACTGCACACAGAGAATGTGTTAATGGAAGATGGTGAGGTGCAGGAAGAAACTAAGTAAACGCCAGGACATATTAGAAAACGTTTCGGTCCTGGGACCTTCATCACTCGGTCCCAGGACCGAAAAGTTTCCTATTCAACTAAGGTTTGTATCCTATCGGCCGCCTCATGCTGTCACTGTTGCAGTAGTGTAAGGGACTTCCTGTTGCCAGATGACGCCGGGGTTTGTGGATTTTAAAAGGATTCGTGCTAATATTTCGAGGATAATGAGGTGTCATTATCGGCTTCTTGAGAGCATATTGAATTTGCAGTCTTGAAATTCTTGAAGAAGGATGTTCCAGCAAACTTTCACATAGCAATACTTTCCTTTCTTCATCAAAGACTGGAAAGAAACGAAGCCTTAAGATAAATTCGTTCTCCGTCGAGCTTACGACAACGTTTCGGTCCGACCTGGACCATTTACTACTGCTTTTTCCTTTCCCTACTTTACACCATCACTATTTCTATTTCCCTACATGCCTTACCACTACCATTAGCACTCCTCCCACTTCTCTTGTTCCATCCCTGCCAGCTGGCGTATATATACTGGTTCCATCTCTTTTTTTCTGTTAGTGTGACTTTGTCAATGGTCAAAGTCGGACCGAAACGTCATCGTAAGCTTCTCTCTCTTATTCGTTTATTGTTCCAGTCACGGTATTGTGTCATTTTGTTCTTTACTTCTAAGAGAGTTATCATCCTTCCCAACGACCTGGTTTCCTTCAACGTCTACAAACACCGGCACTAGGCAACACTAGACTCACCATAACAACCAGCTATGGTGAGTCTAGTATGGTGAGGTTATTCATACTTCAAGGTAATTTTGTTTACAGGTGTTTGGTTCCTTAATTCCTAAGTGGGCATCGTTCCATTTCGCCAAATAGCTGGTGATGTTCCAGTGCTGAACACTTGCATTGTTCAAATTGTCCCGTTGATGTTTTCATTTAGACGTGTTTCTAATTTTCGTCCTGTTTTTCCGACGTACGCCTTGCCACAGCCTCCACCAGAGAGTGTGCAAACTACTCTGTTGCTGGTGAGTAGTTTGCACACTCCCTGGTGGAGGCTGTGGCAAGGTGTACGTCGGAAAAACAGGACGAAAATTAGAAACACGTCTAAATGAAAACATCAACGGGACAATTTGAACAATGCAAGTGTTCAGCACTGGAACATCACCAGCTATTTGGCGAAATGGAACGATGCCCACTTAGGGATTAAGGAACCAAACACCTGTAAACAAAATTACCTTGAAGTATGAATAACCTTCAGTTCTGAAATAATTATATAGAACAAAGTCACCTTCGTCATCTCTGAAATATGAACAGGAATTCTTCAACCTCACAGTTATATAACTACAAGAATTTACTATTACTACTGCCACTACTACTAGTAGTAGTACTACTACTTTAGTAGTACTACTACTACTACTAACATGGACAACCAAAGTTCTTACGCTTTTATCTCTAGTGAATCTCACAATCTTCATTTAATAACTTTTAAATATCTTAGTATTGTTCTTACTATCTTTATAAAGTTTCTGGAGAGCAAAACATAGCTGTAACAAACACAAAAATTTGTCGGAGAACAACATCGATTGAGGGTCACAAAAACTTTGATGTTTACCGAGGATAAAATTTCAATTCCGCCACCGGGGAAAAAAATCGTAACATATCATAGATAATCTCTCCAATAATTATATAATTTCCCCAATTATTTTCACCCATATGACTTCAACTCTTCATATTATTTTTTTTCACGCAATAAACTAGTCACATCGTCGGCAAAATGCAAACAATTAATAGTCAGAATCTCAGTTCGGTGTTTAATATTAATTTTTAAAGGATTGCTCCACGTTTTCTATATCTGCAGCGCCTTTTTCAAGGGGAGTCACGGCTAGAAAAATATCGAGACAATATCCTTCTGTATTTGGCCGATCCGTAAAGCCTTTGTTAGCGGAGTGATTTGCTGGCATATTGGTTAAGGAATTTTCGCTCCTTTTCCACAAGTCGTTAGGAGCCAGTTTTCCTTGCCAGGATATCCAGTTGTTGTCGAGGGGGGTGGGGAGATATTGGGGGAATGCGATGGCAGGGGTTGGGAGACGGGGGGGATTTATCCCTCCAGCCCTTCGTGATCGGTAATCCGGACTAATCCCGGCCAAGTATTCCCAGGAATTCCCAATCCCGGCCAAGTATTCCCAGGAATTCCCGCCTCCTTCGATAATCTTAAGGAATTACTTGTATGCGTTTTTGTCTCCTGTTTTAAGCTACCAGGTTAGGAATTTGTACTCTGGGTTGGAGTTTGTGCTCTGGGTGGGAATTTGTACTCCGAGTAGGAATTTGTACTGAGTGGGAATTGTAGTGTCAATGGAATTTGCACTTAATGGAAATAGACAGATCCTCTCCGGTAGACACAATAGATAGAGATAACTCTCATAAATAGGCAAGATAGACAGAGGCGGGCCGGCCGCTAGACACACCGCTACAAATCGGAGCCAAAATAAAAATTCTGGCGGTGGGAATTTGTTGTTGTGGTCAGGAATTGTTCAGTGAATCCCGGTAAGTGGAGTTAGGCAATACTGGCATTGTTAGTGATAGTAACCGCATGGTACTGTACTCACCTAGTTGTACTCACCTAGTTGAGGTTGCGGGGGTCGAGTCCGAGCTCCTGGCCCCGCCTCTTCACTGATCGCTACTAGGTCACTCTCCCTGAGCCGTGAGCTTTATCATACCTCTGCTTAAAGCTATGTATGGATCCTGCCTCCACTACATCGCTTCCCAAACTATTCCACTTACTGACTACTCTGTGGCTGAAGAAATACTTCCTAACATCCCTGTGATTCATCTGTGTCTTCAGCTTCCAACTGTGTCCCCTTGTTACTGTGTCCAATCTCTGGAACATCCTGTCTTTGTCCACCTTGTCAATTCCTCTCAGTATTTTGTATGTCATTATCATGTCCCCCCTATCTCTCCTGTCCTCCAGTGTCGTCAGGTTGATTTCCCTTAACCTCTCCTCGTAGGACATACCTCTTAGCTCTGGGACTAGTCCTGTTGCAAACCTTTGCACTTTCTCTAGTTTCTTCACGTGCTTGGCTAGGTGTGGGTTCCAAACTGGTGCCGCATACTCCAATATGTGTGTGTGTGTGTGTGTGTGTGTGTGTGTGTGTGTGTGTGTGTCAGACGCTGCATACATCACGTTTGTTTCCCTGTTTAGTTAATTATGTTGTGTGTGTGTGTGTGTGTGTGTGTGTGTGTGTGTGTGTGTGTGTGTGTGTGTGTGTGTGTGTATGTGTGTGTATGCGTGTGTGTGTGTATATATAAACATATTTTACATTTATATAGATATGGAGTGAATGTATATAGGGATGACTAACTACAAAATGGTTCTTCAGTATAAAGGAATTTGGTAATGGCAGTTGGTACTTAATATTAACCAATTACACGCAGCAAATTGAGGTAGTTATTAATTGCCTATTAAGTATGCTAGGGTGTGGCTTCCTGTGTTAGACACTTCCGTATATCACCCCTGTGATGGTTGATGTGGCTTGTTAGATGTGGCTTGTTGCATGTGGCTTGTTACATGTGGCTTGTTGCATGTGGCTTGTTAGATGTGGTTTCTTACATGTGGTTTGTTAGATGTGGCTTGTTACATGTGGCTTGTTACATGTGGTTTCTTACATGTGGCTTGTTAGATGTGGCTTGTTACATGTGGCTTGTTGCATGTGGGTTGTTACATGTGGCTTATTTGATGTATCTTTTTAGGTGTGTTTGCTAGATGTTAAATAGGTCATTTAAGATGTTATTTGCATTTAGCTTTATGTTAGATGAACGTAGATTAATGTTAAATGTCTCTTATATGTTGTTAGTTGAGCCATTATGTACGTGTGATGTTAGATGTAGATGTTTGATGTTAGATGTAGATGTTTGATGTTAGATGTAGATGTTTGATGTTAGATGTAGATGTTTGATGTTAGATGTAGTTTGATGTAGATGTTAGATGTAGATGTTTGATGTTAGATGTAGTTTGATGTAGATGTTAGATGTTAGATGTAGATGTTTGATGTTAGATGTAGATGTTTGATGTTAGATGTAGTTAGATGTAGATGTTAGATGTAGTTTGATGTTAGATGTAGCTTGATGTTAGATGTAGCTTGATGTTAGATGTAGATGTTCGATGTTAGATGTAGTTAGATGTAGATGTTAGATGTAGTTTGATGTTAGATGTAGCTTGATGTTAGATGTAGATGTTCGATGTTAGATGTAGATGTCTGATGTTAGATGTAGTTGTCTGATGTTAGATGTAAATGTTTGATGTTAGATGTAGATGTTTGATGTTCTTTCTTTAGCATTAATCGCCTCTTTACCTTGATATTATAGTCATTAAGAAGCGAGTCAGACATTAAGCTACAACCTGTGGAAGGAGGATCGAGCCTGCACCAGTCCGTGGGCTCAGTGAAGCACACGGGTTTACCGCTTCGTGAAATTCAAATCTAATCCAGCTGGAATTAGGGTTCAAAATCTCTGATGCTTAGGTAGGAATATCGCTTTAATAACCCATCTTCCTAACGTAAATCCCCCCTCCCACGTTAATCCACTTCCCCTGTCCCTAATTCCTAATCCCTACCACGTTCTAAAATCCCCAATTCCTTCAATCTCTACCCCCTCTAATCATCTATCCGCTTCCACCCAATCTCTAATCGCTGTAACCTCCACTTCCTTTGCCCCTCCCCCAGTTATTAATTCC